AGAGAGAAAGAGAGGATAATGGAAGTTACATTGTCTGGTCTGATGGTACGTGATATTTTAACTCACATTTTACTACCTGGTATAGTTTGGATGTGAACTTGGCCCCAGGCTCACATGTTTGAAGTACTTGGTCCCTAGCTGGTAATGTAGTTTGGGAAGGTTGATCTCTCAGAAATGGGGTTTTTATTGCCAGAAGTGGATCTTGTGTCATGAAGTGGGATCTGGAGGTCCTTATAGTTAAGGCCCATTCTCTGCTTCCTGACTGGGGATATGGTGTGCCCAGCTGCCTCCTGTCCCTAAGCCCATGTCTTCCCCACAAGGTGAAGCATGATAGAATGTAACACCCAGCTGTGTAAACCAATGAATGGCTTTTCTTCCTTAAGTTTTTTCTGGTCAGGTATCCTGAGAAAAATAGCTAATGTGTTATTGTCACAAAACACTCAGCACAGCAGGCTTGATAATGAAGCAGGCATATTTAGCTGGCAGCATCCTGGGAGGCTGGAAGCCAGGTGGTATACTCAGGCTCTAGTAAGCCCCTGCCTAAGCCACATCACATGGGTATCTCTCTGTGTGTTGGGCTCTCTCCCTCTTCTTATGAAGGGACCACAAAGACCATGGAGGCTTCAACCTAATGACTTTGTCTAATCTGATAATTTTCCAAGAGCCCCAGTGTTAGCCACCATGCTGAAATTAAGATTCTAGCTTCTTGCTACCATTAACATATGGTTTATAAGTGGTTAAACCCCTGCAGGAGTTTTGGGGAACAAACTGGCTCCAAGCCACACCTGCACACCCATTTCCCCTATCTGTTCAAGCCATCAGTGGCTGACTTTTACTTGCATCATTTTGCTTCTATTGTTCCATAATGGGAGGTCATGAGAGCCCCTCCCAAGCAAGGCCCTTGGCTTGCTGCATCTTCCTGGGTCTTCGCCTACCATCTTCCCCTTGCCTTCTTCCCTCTCTGAGCTCGTCGGCTCCCATCTGTCTCACTGAAGAAGGGATTTTCCATCTTCAAACAGGATCGACTGTTCGTCTCCAAGGTACCCTAAACACCTCAATGTCAGGGGCAGGACCTTGGTGGTGTGCCTCTTGTCTGCCATGGCCCTCATTTACTTTGATGCCATTTGATTGTGAGGAACATGCAAGGCAACTCTCACCTCCCTAATGGTTTTGTGAGGTCAGAGCCACACAGAGTAGAGGAAATGTTTCTAGCTATCCTCAGGGTACTGTCATCGCAACTCCAGTCCTACTCTAAGTCAACCAGAGAAGGCCCCAGAAAGATCGGTCAGGAAGTCAAACAGGGCATTTCTCTAGCCAGGATTTGATGGCATGGGCTTTGAGGGGTGCTTGTTTAACTACATTTGCAAACTCATGAGGCTTCATCACCAGAGACCCCCATCTATGTTCTGGAGAAACAACCTTGTCCATGTCATTTGCTGGTTACCTCCTCACACCTCAGCCCTCGTGAGCCTGCCTCAGCTGTCTGCACTGCAGAGTGAAAGACACTTTTACCACATCAGCAAAACACCATGTTGAGCTGAGAGCTGCCTTGGGGTTTGCAGAATCCCTAAATAGAAACCCATCGACTGCAGGCTTTCACACGGAACAAAACACAGATTGTGTTTGTGTGAAAGAGCCCATGACACGTCAAGGTCGTTCCCAAGTAGCTCTCTGTAGATTAGTACTGTCCAACAGAGTTCTCTTCAACAATGAAAACTTGTCATCTGACTGACTACATACAGTAGCCACCGGCCACAAGTGACTACTGAACATTTGAAATGGGCTAGTGTAATTGAGGGGAAAGATCTTGTATCCTATTCAGTTTAAATAACTTAACTAGTGCTATGTGGCTCTGTACAAGCAGGGGTGCTGAGTGACAAGGAATGCCATCTTGTTCTTTCATTTAATAATTAACAGAATGCAGTAGCGATTAAGGTTGGGTAGCAGTCTCCTCCAAGATTAGAACCTTGCATTTCTTAAGACAAATGTTTATGGGAAGGTGAAACATTCCATCCTACAAGGAAGCCTTTAAGACAGGAAGTAAACAACTCAAAATAGTTCCAAGGAGTCCCTGAAATCGACCCCTTCCCATGAGTATATAAGCAGTAAAAACTACCAAGAGTCACTCTAGACAAGCCAGGCTGCCTGAAGAGGCTTAGACCAACCGAAAAACCTGGAAAGGACACTTTGCAACCTGTTGAGCTATCTGTAAGTTGTGCAGTATACCCCACGTTTCCATATTTGTGAGCTGCCCCCCATGCCAAAGTGGGCTTTGGTGATGGAGCTATCTTTGAGTGATTTCTGCTCCTGTAAGTAACTCCAGTAAAACTCATGATTCACCAAGTTGGACTTGGGTGGTATCCATACCTTGGTCTGTCACAGGCTAGCTATCTGGGGAGAATAGACATTTGTTCAGTCTTCACAGGAATAGTCTTGACATTTGTTAAAAGCCAAATCCTACCTTAGCAGTAGCATAGTTAAACATGAAATTAATTGCTAACCACAAGAGAAATCTGTACCAACCAGTTTGGAACTTGAGATAATAATGGTCATGTCTCTGGGGTGAGTGTACCAGGTGCAGGAAGTGAAGTTCACTGAGCAAACCCAGGTACAAGAGGGATTTGGAAAGGGCAGGAATTTCATCCTGGATCCTAACATCCACGTTGGTTTTACACAGGATGAGAGGACCCATGAGAAGATAAGCCACTGGTGCACTGAAGTCTCCTGACCTCCTTCTTGGAAATGGCTTCATTTCTAAATACTATGATTCTTTGGAGTACCACCCAAATCTTAGCATTATGAAAGGCAGCACGAGGGCTAGAGAGATGGCTCAGTGGTTAAGAGCATTGACTCTTATAGTGGGAAATTACCAATACGGAGTCAGGTAGAAATATAAGGGTATTTAATAGGGAAAAGCCTTATTTACAGAGCAACCTAGACAGCCAGCGTGGCAACAGTCTGTATGCAAGCCCAAAAGTGAAACCGAAAGCGAAAACGCAGTCGCACTACATCACCCTGACCACGCCCTCGCAAGCGTGGTCAGGCACACCTGTAGCCAGCCCCTAAGTAGGCGTGGCTACAGCTTCCCCTACAGACTCTTCTTCCAGAGGACCCAGGTTCAGTTCCCAGCATCCACATGTCAGCTAACAGCCATCTTTAACTCCACTTTCAGAGGATCCAGTGCCCTCTCCTGGTATATATGGGCACTGTACACATACATCAATGCAGGCAAAAACACACGTACACATGCATAAAATAATTAATAATAAGGCAGCCCCAACTCTCAGCCCACCAGAGACACTTCTTCATGCAGTGGGCAGCAATTAATCAGAGGCTCACAATGGGTCAAAGTGCAAAAAATAAGTCATCGTGGAGTGCTCAGCCCTAAATGGACGTTTGTATCAGCCCCTCCCTGCAACCAAGGCTCAGGAACCATCACGGAAGAGAGGACAGAGAGACTCTAAGGAGGACTGGTAAAAAATCAGTGCCTTCTAGACAGGACAGGACACTGCACCCAAGAACTCAGCACCTGTGGCTACCTGCACAAGACCAAGCCAGTCACCGTCCCAGCATGGAGGGTGTGCTATATAGTTTCATGTCAACTTAACACCAGCTAGAGTCATCCAAGAGGAGGAAATCTCAATTAAGAAAATGCTCCATAATATCAGGCTGTAGACATTGTCTTAATTAGTAAATGATGAGACAGGACCAAGCCTGTTGCAGTGGGGCCATCCCTGGGCTGGTGGTCCTGGGTTCCATAAGAAGAAAGAAGCCTGAGCAAGCCATGGGGAGCAAGCCAGTAAGCATCTCCCCTTTGTGGCTTCTGCATCAGCTCCTGCCTCCAGGTTCCTGCCCTATTTGAGTCCCTGCCTTGACTTCCTTTGATGGTGAACAGTGATGTGGAAGTGTAAGTCAAATAAACCCTTTCCTCCCCAAGTTCCTGTGGTCACCTCAGCGATAGTAACCCTGACTGAGATGGAGGAAGGGCTCACAAGTCCCCACCCATAAACAGAAGAGCTGTCAGCAGCTGACAGCTGCTGGGGGAGGGGAATTTTTTTTCTTATGCTGTGTGGCCCCGGTTGCTTGTTCATGCTCCAGTGGACAGCCCCACACCCATCCATGTGTGGTAACACTGACTGGAAAAGAAGAGGACATGAAGTTGGTGGGGAGTAGAGGTGGGGGTGTGGGAGAAGTTGGAGGAGATGCTTCCATCACAGAATGGATGAAATACATTGTATGCATCTATGAAGTGCTCAAAGGATAAATTAAAAATACAACCACCATAGGAAAAGATAGCACATGGTGCTTTGTTTTCTCTTTGTTTATTAAGGATATATATTCATACATATATACATACATATATACATATATAGAGATACATATCTTTCCAGTTCTTTCATGATGCTGGCAGAACCTGAGCTTTGTCCCCTATCAGGCAGAAGCCATGCCTAATTCACCCAAAAACATGGAGAAAAGGAGAAGGGAGCAACCAGCAACTGTCATCAGAACATGCACCTTGGCATTGCTTTTGCTTTGTTTTAACTGGCTGAGCTCCGAACCACCAGTCAACTTAAAGAGATCCAGTTGATTCTAATTGTTTAAGCTCTCGGTTCGGTGCCCCTATCTATAAAACACACATAAATAGTATATTACCATGATCTAGGACAACAAAAACATTCTGAAGGTCATGAAAGAATCCAGTCCTATCTGCCCTGTGTTGGATTAGCAAGAGTGTCAATCCAGGTGGGAGAGCTCCATGATAGACCCTCGGGTTTTATTCAGTCGCTTTAAGGAACTCACCAAAACCATGAGACATTTCACAATCAAGTTCTTCTGGGCAGAGAGGAAAACTGATTCTTCCTGTCACTGTGAAGCATCAGCTCTGAAGCATCAGCTCTGGCGACTCCGAGGCGGCCTCTTTGACGAAGCTGGGGCCCAGTCTCAGGATGGAGGCATCAACTTGGTGGATGCATACAAAGCACAGTCATGAGAAGTCTCTGCTACACTAACGTTGCATTCCTGACCTTCTGAGGACTGGTGGTGTCAAAGGAAACCCGAGGATGACTTGCTGCACTGGACTGGCGTGTTTTGTGTTCCTGCTAACAAAGGCAGAAGGGTCAGTGTGCTTACTGGCTGGGCCTGAGACAGTGCTCACCTGAGAAGCAACGGGAGCAGAGATGAACAACTGTACAGAGACACACCCTCCCCTCCTATTTCTTCAGCAGCACACATTCTGGGTGCTTTCCAAGCACGAACAGCAAACTCATTCCAAGAATCCAAGACCCACTTTCACCAATCCTAATTACAGATGCCAAGATTCCCTGTTTTGTTTTGTTTTCCAATTTTCCTGTGGAAGTTCTTGCTTTACCTAGTAGGGTGGTTTTTGTTTTGTTTTGTTTTGTTTTTTTAAAAAACATAAGATATTTGTGGATGTCTTCAAATAACACACATTCCTTCTAAAAGAGCAAAAGCAAAGCAGAAGAACTGACTGGAAATTCACTGCCCTCGTGTCTCCTGTACCTTCCAAACTAACCAGGGCTCCTCTACCAGGCCAGTGACTTCACCCAAAGATGGGAGCACAAGCCTAAAATGTGCCCATAAGCCAAGCACGTGGGAGACTGAGGCAAGAGGATCATGAGTTCAAATTAACCTGAGCCACATAGGCAGACCCTGTCTCAAAAGCAAAGAAGTTATGTGCAACCCATTTTCCCTGCCAGCCCTGAGGACAGAGGTTCAGACTGCGGGGCACAGCAAGCGTAACAAACGTCTTAAATTATGCAGTGGGCGGGATGAATTATTCAGCCGCAGTGGAACGTGTGGATCTTGAGTGGGAATAGTCTCAAGCCGCCATGTGGCCTCCATTTACAGGCTCCCGGGAAGGAAAGGAGGCCTGCTTGGCGGATGGACCTGTCTATGCCAGGGTCTCTCTGGAGGGCGCCTTCTGCTGGGAGTTGCTGGAGGTTTTTGCAGTTGTTTGCTTCTGTTTGCTCTGCTGGGTTGCACGAATGCACTGCTGCCTTCTAAATTTATCACGGGTTTATTTCTGTTTATCTCAACAGGAGGAATGGATTAGTGGGCAAGGCACAAGCCGGGTTATGAAACATTTATATGCCCTTGAAAACTGAATGGTGAAGAGATGGAATCGCTAAGAAAAAAAGAAAAAAAAAAAAAAAACAGAAGAATTGACTGACAGAAAGTGAAGGCCCAGAAGAGAAGGAGGAAGGATGGCATTTGTGTTAAATATTCATCTAGGTACAAATCATTCAGAAAGCCTATGGTTTTAGACCAAAACAGAAAGAGTTCATTTGTCCCATGAGCTGGTTGTGATTTGTAGCAAAAGAAAAAAAAATTTAAATCCTTGTGAGCTCTGTCCTAAGAAGTGTTTACAGTGTCAGGTCACACCTGAGCTCCCTCTTACCACCCAGCAAGCTCTTATCTAGTAATCAATGGCCTATTCCATGCCCTAATCAATCACACACCCCATCATGACAGAAACCAGCAGTGAAGAGCAGTCACACTTGGCATGTGTCCATTTCAATAATCTTCTTACCTTCTAACTTTCCTAGACATTTAATGCCTGGGCTGGGCTCTGCAGCCTAAAATCTTATTCTTCTGTCCATGTTGAAAGTGGTGTGTCTTAGGACTCATCTAAAACACCAGAGACGAAAAAAAAAAAACTGCCACAGTTGGCAGAGCCCCAATCCTTGTACTTGGTGCTGATGATGGCACCAGAAACATCCCAGGCTCTTCCTATGATGCAAGAAGCTCACTACACCACGGTGGACACACGGGGTGCAGTTTAGGCAGCCTCCTGTTACTCAGAGAAAACACTGCCTTAGAAACAGGCCTGTGTCTACACAAACACTGTCCGCAAGCCGATCATCTGGGAAAACTTTGGAAACATTGTTTCTTAGGCCCAATCTTGTCTAAACAGTCTGGAAGAACCTACAAGAGCTTGTACAAGTACCCAAGTGCTCTGGGGTGTGCTGCACTGAGATGCCAGGGTACCAGACATAGGTTTCTATAGGTGACACATGGACCTCAGATTCAGCAAGTATTCTTTAGGAATCCGAGCATCCAGCATTTGAAAACATCCCCCAAGTTCTATCAGGCGTCAATCGGGATATACACTCTAGTCAAAATCCCTGTGGGACTGAAGACATGGCACAGTGGTTGAGAGCACTCGCTGCTCTCACAGCGGACCCGAGACCCATTCCTAACAACCACATGGGCTCATAACCATCCACAGCTTAACTTCTTGGGTTACTGATGTCCACTTCTGGTCTCTCATGGTACTACATACATAAGAACACACACACACACACACACACACACACACACGCACGCACGCACGCGCACGCACGCACACATGCACGCACACATGCACAAGCGCATACACACGCACACACATGCACACACACGCATGCACGCATGCATGCACACACGCACGTACATACATACATACATACATACATATGGGCAAATCACTCCTACACATGAAATAAATAAATCTTTAATATTCCAATGCTCAGGGAAGACCCCACAGGGAAAAAGGCTGAAATGGGATTGGGCAGAAGAGAGCTCCAGGCAATTGAGGGTTAAGTGATTCTGGAAACCTGCCTCTTGCCACATTGATAGATCTCACCATCTTCTGTGGTGACTGACCCATAGTGGCCACTGTCCTCCTGAAGCTTCCAGTCACAATGGCTGGGTTTTTTTGGGGGGCTCCTGGCTGGTTTTCTGTGGGGCACTCCTATAGCCACCATCTGTCCCCTAAGAGACTGTCTCTGTGACAATCCCTCACCCTTCTGAAGATGTACAAGGACTCTCTACTGGACCTATCAGAAGAAGGGTCTGACCCAGGAGCATCACCCTCACCCTAGCTACCAAAAATCAACAAAGGCCCTCCACCCAAAAATGGACCCTTAATAAACTCACTGGCCAAGGAAATTTTCTCTCTGAGAATCTCCAGATTAAGCTTCCCATAGGTCTCTTAGGACAAACCTCTTAGGCTGCTACTGGTGCTTGGCGGGCTCTCTCAGGCAGAGGGTCCATGTTTACACCCCTCACCAAGATCATTCAGGGAGCTAATGAACCTTATACATAATTTGTAGGGAGGCTTACAGAGGCCACAGAACGGGTTTTGGGCACAGAAGAAACTGACAACAGACTCCTTAAACAACTAGCTTTCCAGAACGCTAACAGCGTTTGCCGAAATATCCTCAGAGGCACCTTTAAAAACAAGTCCCTTGAGGAAATGATTCGGGCATGCAATGATGTTGACCCCTTTTCTCATAAACTCTCGCATAGCATTTCCCAGGGGGTCACTATGGCTATTGGCACAGCTCTACAAACAACAGGTAACCACAGAGCTTGCTTTAAATGCCACCAAACCGGACATTTTGCTAAACAATGTTCCCAAAATATGATACCCCGACCTTCAGAGGGCGCCCGACACCTCGATCCCAAGAGGGCATCTCGACCCCTGCCCCTTCACCCCTGCCAAAAACTGTCTGTCCCAGATGCAAAAAGGGTAAACATTGGCTCAGGGACTGTAGATCCAAAACGAATGTACGAGGGAATCCCCTGCCTCCTCCTCAGGGAAACGGCTTGAGGGGCCAGCCCCAGGCCCCACAGCCAATCCCCTTCTTGCCAGCATCAGGGCCAAGCCTGCAGGCACAATCCTTGAGCTTCCTTATTTTCTCCACACCATTTTCACCCACAGGCCTTTTTTGGCAGAATGATCCCCTCTATTGGGACCATCTATCTGCTTCACCAGGCAGAGTCCTCCTTACCTACCCCTGTCTAGTTTTTCAACTCATTAAGATGGGCAGAGAGCATAGTCTTAAATTATTTGGCAAAGACCCCGACATTCTTGTGTTCACTTATACCCCTTCCCAGGTACAATGGCTCACCCAAAATGAAGATACTTGGGCAATTAATCTTATATCTTTCCAAGGCCTTATTGATAATCATTTCCCCGCCAATTGACTTGTCCAATTCTTTTTAAAAACCCCTGTAATCTTTCCAAAAGTAAAAAAAGGACTCCCCTTAATGATGCCACACTGGTTTTCACTGATGGGTCATCTACCAGGAGGGCTGCCTATTCTATAGATGGCAAAATCTTTTATTTTCAAACCTCGGCCTCCTCTGCCGAGATAGTAGAACTTTTGGCTATAATTAAAGTCTTCCAAACTCTCCCTTTAACCTTTACACTGATGGTGCTTATCTTGCCCTCTCTGTTCCCTGTCTTGAGACCGTTCCCTATATCCGACCATCTACAGGTGCGGCTCCATTCTTTTCAACTCTCCAGTGCCTGATTTTAACCCGAACCTCCCCTTTCTTTATTGGTCACATTTGAGCACATTCCAGGTTGCCTGGTCCCCTTTCTTGGGCAAATGATGACATTGATCAAGCTACCCAAATAATTACCTTGGCTCAAACGGGCCCCCCTCTTTCTGACCCCATATCCTTAGGCCAACAAGCCCATGCCACCCATCATCTCAATGCCCATTCCCTACGCCTTCAGTTTGGCATTACCAGAGAACAAGCTAGAGAGATAGTCTGCTCTTGCAAAGGCTGTTTTACTCTCCTGCCGGAGCCCCACCTTGGGGTTAACCCCCGAGGTCTGCTCCCTGGACAGCTTTGGTAAATGGATGTCACCCACTCCTCCCAGTTTGGGAAATTAAAATACATACATGTGACTATTGACACTTACAGTGGTTTCATTAACGCCACGATCCAGGTGGGCGAGGCAACAAAAATGTCATAAATCATGTTCTTTCCTGCCTAACGGGCCTACCCCAACCCAAGACTATTAAAACAGATAATGGCCCTGGATATACCAGTCTAGCCTTCATGCAATTTTGTTCTCATTTAAATATCAGTCACATTACTGGTATTCCCTACAACCCCCAGGGCCAGGGGATTATTGAAAGGGCTTACCAAACACTTAAAAACATGCTATTTAAACTATATTCGTGAGGAGGAATTTTATACCCCACTAAAGGCAATCATAAGAACCTACTCAATCATGCATTGTTTGTGCTAAATTTTCTCTACAGGGAAATCAGCCTCGGATCGCCTCTGGCATCCA